CACGGCTGGGGTGGGTCAGGGTGTCCAGCCACAGTGGGACACACTGCTCCAGGGTGGTGCGGGATGTGGTGCGGGTCCCAGGGGTCTTGCAGCATGCCCGTGTGTACCAGGGAACAGCTGGAGTGACTCTCTTTCCTTTCCCTTACTGATGGCATAGCGGAGTTCACGGGGCCCCCCCAGAAGCCTCCAAGACTTGGGGCACAGGTAAGACCTCCCTGGGTTGGGCCACCACATCCCTGGTCCTCTTCCTCCATCTCCACTGTCATGTTCCTCCTCGTCCACCTCCATCATAGAATCACAGAATGGTTTGCGTTGGAAGGGACCTGAAAGATCATCTAGTACCAACCCTCCTGGTCGTCCTTCTGCATCTGCAGGATGGGATTTTTCTGACTTCCCCAGACCCCAAAGGAGTCAGACAGACCCAGCAGCATGGGGGTCACAGGTGGGAGGTGGATGGGTCTGGCCAGGGCTCCCCACAGGTGCAGATTTTCCCTCCTTGCCCCCTCGGTCCGTCTGATCCTGTTGTGCCCCTGTTCCCCAGCAGTCCATCCACCCGGCCCCCACCGCCAACCTGGACCGCACAGATGACACGGTGTACAGCAATGTAATGGACCTGGTGCGGGCCGTGCTGCAGCTGAAGAACGAGATCAGCCTCCTGCCCCCAGAGGGGTACATCCTTGTGGTGAAGGTAGGGAGGGGGCAACTCCAGGGGAACAGGAGAGGGAGTTGGGAATGAGTCTGCTGAGTGACTCCCACCAAGCATCCTTCTCAGGAAGGTCATGCACATGTTGAAGGGAGTATTTCCAGCACTCCCTGCTCCTCCGTTGAGTCCTTGGATCAACAGTGGGAGAATTTCCAACATGTCCTGTGCCTCCACTGGGTCCTTGGGTCAATGGTGGGAGCATTTCCAGCACTCCCCACTCCTCTGTTGGGTCCTTGGATCAACAATGAGGGAGTTTCCAGCATGACCTGCTTCTCCATTGTGTCCTTGGGTCAACGATGGGAGAGCTTCCAGCACACCCTGCTCCTGCATTGAGCCCTTGGGTCAATGATGGGAGAGCTTCCAACACGCCCTGCTCCTGTGTTGGGTCAATGGTGAGAGCATTTCCACCACTTCCGGCTCCTCCACTGAGTACTTGGGTCAATGATGGAGAGTCCCACCATGGCTTTCTCCCAAATGGGATCTTTGACTCAGCAGCCCAGACTATTCCCATGCACCACTTGCCCATGCCTGTGTCCGGAGCCATCCTAACCCTGCCGCTCTCCCTGCAGAACGTGGGCCTGTCCCTGCGGAAGCTGATCGGGAGCGTGGACGAGATCCTGCCCGTCCTGCCTGCTGCCTCCCGCACCGAGGTAGGACCAGGGAGGGGGGAGAGGGGTCCGGTGTGGGGTCAGGTGCTGGTGGCACCCCTATCTGTAACTCCTTGTGTGTCATGGCCAGATTGAGGGCACCCAGAAGCTGCTCAACAAGGACTTGGCTGACCTGATCAACAAGATGCGCCTGGCGCAGCAGAACGCCATCACCTCGCTGAGCGAAGAGTGCAAGCGGCAGATGCTGATGGCCTCCCACACCCTGGCCGTGGACGCCAAGAACCTCCTGGATGCCGTGGACCAAGCCAAGGTCCAGGCCAACCTGGTGAAGCTGTGCTTGGAGTGAGGGCAGGGAAGGAGAAGGGGTGGGGAAGGGAAGGAGGAGAAGGGACCGCCGCGCTCCAGTCGGCAGAGATGGGAGGAGAACGTTGCAGAGGAGCTGGCTTCTGTGTGTCTCCCGTGGCCTTGCCGCCCTGCCCTCTCTGTCCCCCGCCCCCTCCTGCAGCCGCTCGTGTCTTTAGCGTTGTCTCGTCGGTCTTCTGCAGAAGGGAGGCATCTGGTCACTCGTCCCTGGAAAGGGTTGGGGGGAACTTGGCCGTCCCTGAGGGTGGCTGAAGATCCCCCTGCCTCAGCGGCTCCCTGCTCCCCAGCTCCAGCAGGTCCATGTGTCCGTCCCTTGGCCCCTCTGAGGACGAACGGCCGCGGGCGGCGTGTTGCAACGGGGACCTGGACCCTGCTTTTCACTGTGGGGAGCCGGGGGACGCAGCGGCTGGGGGAGCTGGCATCATGGGGGGCCGCGTGGGCATCCCCGGGGACCATTGGAGCGGTGGCCGGAGGGAGGGACTCTGCATTTCCTTGCACAATGTATAGAAGAGTTTATTTAATGACGGGAGGTGGGTCCATGCTTCGTGGTGGAGCTGGTTCCGGTGCCCGCGGTTGGAGTGTGCCCAGCCCCAAGCCTGTGGAGCACGGGAGGGGTGGGACACCATGGACCACAGCCTTCGGTGACACAAACCAGGAGAACGGTGCCTCTTCCAGCTGAGTTTTCTCTGAGCTGCTCTGTGTTAGCAACAGTGGCGAACCAAGTCTCTGTTGGGTTTGTGCTTTGAGTTGGAAACCGTACGGTTCGGGCTTTTCCCCAGCATCTTCCCACAATGCTGTTCATTCTGGCTGAGATAAACCATGCACAAAGTCCTGCTGTGCCTCTGCTCACCTCTCACCCCTACACCACGGGATGTGTCCCCTGGTCAGTGGCATCTCCTTGGAA